ATTTCCCCGCCCCCCCTCGCCCCCATTCATAAAAATATAGTTTTGTAATAATGAAATAATTATCATCGTTGTATAAATATCATTTATTATTATTATTATTATTATTATTATTATTATGCTTTTGAACAAATTTATTTGATGAGAATGTTTGTTCGTTTGTTTGCTCGTTTGTTTGTTATTATTAAAAAATATTATTATTATTATTATTATTATTATTATTATTAGTTTTTTTTTTTTAATAATTTTTATATATATTCATATTATATTAATAATATTATAAATATATTTTTTTTTTTTTTGAATTATTTTTGTACAAATGAAAAAAATTTTTGATGAAAACGTAAAAAAAAAAGAAATAAATAAATAAATAAATAGAATTAAATAAAATTTTATATAATTTTTTATTAAAAAAAAAAATTATTATTATTATTATTATTATTATATGAAACGTTCCTAATTTTTTCGATTTTATTTTTATTTTTAACCTTTGATTACAAACCCACGTGATTTATTATTATTATTATTATTTATCGCGTTTTGGAAAGGTTCATTGAATTTTTTAAATTTATTTTTTATATATTTATATATATATATATAATTATATAAAAATAATTGATAACAATTTAAAATTATTATTATTATTATTATTATTATTATTATTATTATTAATAAAATTTTATCACAGATATAATTAATTAATTAATTAAATTTAATTTAAATTTTTTTCTTATACGTTTATTTGATAAGACGATGAGGATATAATTAATTTAGAATTATTAATTTCGTTTGCATTATTATTATTATTATTATTATTATTTTGTGATAATTTTTTTCCAATTCCTTTATCGCTATTTATTTTTTTATATAATTTTGAATTGTTTGGATAATAAACGTTCGTGCTACCACCACTGTGTCATTATTATTATTATTAATTATTATTATTATTATTATAAATAAATAAATAAATAAAATAAACTTACCTGAACGAAGTAGATGATGATTCCATCATGTCGTTGTTGTTGTTTCTCACGTGACGTTTCATCATGGATGGACCACTTTTACATTTTGATTTTCTTCCAGAATATTTTAATTTATTAAATGATGATTCGTCGCTCGATGTACTCGAATAATCTTCTATTTTTTCTATAATTAATATAATTAATTAATTAATTAATTGTTATTAATAAAATAATTTAAATAAAAATGTATTTACCTGATGATCTTTGTCTGAATGATGAATGCATGTCTTGAGGTGGAGGAGGAGGAGGGATTCGTTTTTTTTCATCATCTTCCGAATCGCTCCATAAAGCATCGTATTCTGATAATGGCAGATTATTCATTGATAATATTTTTTTAACTTCCGAATCCGTGCTACCAAAATTATCCGATTCTGTAAAATAAATAATTTATATTCTCTCTCTCTCTCTCTCTCTCTCATTATTATCATTATTATTAAAAAATGGCGGTTACCTTGATTTTCCATTTGAATATTTTTTATACGTTTATTATTATTATTAGTATTTTTTCGGCGGAATTTTTTATATTCTGTTTTTTTACACTGGAATGATAAAAAATTAATTGTAAA